GACTTCTCACCGTTTCCAGTGGTTGTGAATGTTTATGGTAATGTTTTTCGCAGGGACTACCACAGCTACAACGACAATGGCAACCAATAAAGCAGCAATTAGGCGGATCATTTTGATTACGACTGCACAATTACCAGGAATATGCGGGTATTTATGCATGGTAGGTGGGGCTGCTGATTGGTTACCGAGGCGTTTCTTAGCGTTGATTTGATAGCGACGACTGAAGTTACCAATTAACGTGTTTACAGAGAGAACTAAAGTTTCTTCATGGAGTCATATTATGCCTGCTAGAGGGTGTAAGCTACGAAAAAGGCACAATGTAGGGCGTATATTCTTGCCTTATCTCCTAAATATTTTGTGGGAATTTCGTTTCTTTAGTTTAACAATGGGATTTGCCGATATAGTGTCGCTGCACAGGCTCAATTTTATCGGCAAATGTGTGACTTTGGCAAAATGTATTATGGATGCTTGGTTTTGATAAAATTGGCATAGTTTCTAGAACAGCTTACGAATATTTAAAATAGATCCAACAACCTTTTGGACCAAGTGAATATATTTAATTCGACTCCGAAATGATTGGATGGTTGGCAACCATTTTTAGAGGGAGCGGTTTTAGTCAAATTATTTAAAACCTGAGCGATGAATAGAAATTTCTTCTGCCTAAAGGCCCTCCATTGACGTCGAAAATGTACATATGTTGGACTTTAATATTAAATCACTTGAATGGCAGAAATGAAGTGAATGATATTTTAATCCAGTACAGCAGGAGAAAAGGCTTTCCTTTTTGATCAGTTATAATGACAATTGCTTGAAAAGCTTTTAAATGGGTAGAGGAGAAGGAATTGTATCTAATCAAAACACCGTGATACTATGGATAAAGGGATTTTACGGCCCCAATTTCAACATTGGAAATGACCATTAAGGGATACTGATAGCTTTGCTTTTAAAAGTCACTTGTTTAAACTGCTTTAAAGAGCTCTTGGCACTCTTTCTCAGCACTAAAGGCATCGTGAAGTCTCTCCTGATGCCTTACTACATGCAGGCAGAACATTTTTAGTTCATTCATTCTTCGGCCGAGGACTCCACAGTAGAAATCACTGCATCCGCATTTGCCTACCTACCGCATGTGTGGCAAATCGCAAAACTCAAACAGGACCATTTTTAATAACTACACAAATTTTGCATGAATATGTTAGCGCTTGTGTTTATACACTTAATCATAAGGAAGTAAGTTGAGTAGAAGTTAAAAATAGGGAAGTTGGAAATGAAGAGCTTATCAGTGGGAATAAAAATTAGTTAAGTGATATTGCAAAAATTTAGATTTACGTCAAACAAATGTCCAGATGCTCTGTACTTTTTATTTAGTGTCCATAGAAGCAGAGCAAATGCATAAATTTCTACATAATAAATTAGAGTCTTGGACTGTCGTACTGTTTCTTTCCTGATACGGAGAACTAGTTTGTGCTGGAATATAAAAGTGTTCTGATATGCCAAAGGATTCCTTACTTTCGGCTTAAAACAAACTTAGAAATATCAGATGAACAGGTGGGAGTAAAGGGCTTTCGAACACATTTTGGTACTTATGGGATCTTTATCCAAGTGGTGGTGGCGAATTCCAATGCTGCTGCCTAAGCTGCATTCGTGGAAGCCGGTGCTGAACCGGATGGATTCATTCAAGCACTTTCATTTATTTCGCTGTGTTAGAAAAAGATAATTTTGCTTTAGGATGAATTTTTCTTGTTCTAATATGCATGTAAATGATAATAAAAAATAAGGCAATGTTTGAATAATTCCAACTATAATTTCGCTTCAGTGGACCAAGCTACAACATAACGGGCATTTAGGATGCACGAACCGATGTATTTTCCGCCGTGAGAGTTAACACTTGACGCAAGCTTTAATAAATCGGAAGAGTTTGATTTAAGTAAATATCTATCACTGAGTTAGATGTCGCCACTCGACGAGGCTTTTTTGCTAAAAGCTAGGCTCTTTATTAATAATTTAAGTAACAATCTATTGCATTACCTGCAAATGGCTGAATATCACAAACTCACAACTCCATTCCTTTATTCTTGTTTTAGACATAAATGCGCACGAATCTAAAGGGAAAGATGATGTTATGCAATAAAAGATACACGCAAGTAATTTAGTACCCTCTAAAATCTGCATGTGCCATGTGGTAAGCGTGTGTGTGCTAATCAATAGAGCCATTTCTATTGTGTGTGTGAAGATGCCAAGGTATGGTGCATGACGTCGGTGGTGCCAGTGGCGCAGTCACGTAGTCTGATTATGAAGAAAGCGACATAGGTGCCGAAATATGGAGTAAAAGTAAGCACTTAGTTCTGCTATGTCGAACAAGTTCATTTCAAAATGGAAAGTTAATTTGTGGCTTGAACGCAAAGCCACAGATATTTATAAGGTAAAATCGAGTGGCTTTCCTTGCCATTCCTCCTGCTTCATTTCACTAGACATTCCATTACCATTTGTATTTCAGCAAAAAGTGATTTTGCCCTTTTATTCACTACTGATAATTATACAATTTTCTGGTTTACTTTGAAATGACTGGAAGGTGTCCCAGAAATTCTTGATGTATTTTATTGACATACATTCGATTACAAGGCAGTTTGCTTGCAAAACTCACATTTCTATCAAAGACATGCAAATCCTGTGGACTTTCATTTTAATTGTGTACTATGTATCTGACAATATAAACTTATCTCCTTTTTAAAGACCATGCTAAAACTACTATAGCTTGCATTCAAAAAGAGATGAATGTTAAAGCAAAAGCATAAAATTTACGCCATATATTTGACAGCTGCTTTTCTTAGCTTACAAATCAGCACCTACGTTGAGTAACTTACACGATAAGCTGCACTTAAGCAGCGACCCACTTTAATATATACTTTTTGAGTAGTCTTTGTAAACAAGTCAGATTTATACAAAGCACGATTTTAGTAATCAGGGAATTCAATTTCGACTCTTATCTTGTCTGTAAGATGTAATTCACTGTCACAACATTAGTAATTTCCGTATTTATATTATTTTTCGCCATTTTAGCTACCAAATTGAATTTATTAATGCGTTTTTTTCTCAAAGTGGAAAAAATTGAATATTGAAGCATGTGTATTTTTAGGTACAAAGTAGAAGCTTTGGATGCAAGAGACTCTGTACTCTTCTCACGTCATGGGAAATTTAATAAAGTATTCAAAACTGAAGTTGGCTGCCCATTTACAGGGCATTTAAAAGTTAAATTAAGGATATGTAGGCAACAATTCTCAGTTTAGGTGCACTTGCACTGTATACGTACAGCATGCGATCAAGTCATTTAATTTGCGCTAACTTTAGTCGCACGAATAGACCTACTCGAAGTATAGCGAATGAATTTGGTTCCATTTGCATCCTATGAGCCCCTAAAGTGGATTAAATTTGATATTACCTGTTTATCTGCTTGCGACTTAAACATGGAAAGAGAGTGGGATTTGAATAATTTGCCTGCAATAAATATAGCAAGAAATTCCCATTCAAAAATTAGGGAGAAATTTGATAAAGATGGGGACATGCTTACCAGCTGCTGCAATATTTAAATGCGAAATGGTGACGCGGTCCTCCCACGGCCCAGATTGTGTAGTAGTTTAAGTTTCCACATCAGTTAATAGTGCTTATATGCATGAGGTTATTGAGAGTGGTAATGATAGATCATCTAACTTGAAACCACTAGTTGCGTAAATTCCACTGCATACAGCCTCAAATTAAAATTCCGGCAACGTGTATGTGAATCAGTGCAGTTCTATGCCTGGTATTTACATTTATACTTGAATTTCTTCAACTTTGCAAATCAAACTACTTTTTGTTTCTTGCCCATTGGAAAGTTCTTTACAGCACCATCCCCATAATTATTTTTACCTTCATTTTAGTGCAATCCCTAAATTTGGCATTTCAACGTGACACCTGCTTTAAATAAACAAGTCTATTACCTTGATCATCGCAAACTGATTTCACATCGGACAAGCAGACTAAACAAATTGACAAGCCTGTGCAAATATCGCAGTTGCGTAGGGGTGTTAATCTGACAAGAATTCTAGCGATGCTACACTGACAATGGTACACCTTTTGCAAGTAAAACAGACAAAGATGTATTCCGTCACTTGGCAAGACCAAAAAACCAAACTGTCTCCATGAATTAAGCCAGCCAATTTATTTAGCTCTAAAAAAGAATGGCGTTATCGAAATCATCTCCCGTACAGTAAGATGAAAGAAAATTTTCTTCCTTCCGTGTGTTTATAAACGCCGCCTAGGGAAACTTTGAACAAGTAGAAAAAAAGAATTTTTTTGAAGTAAAATCCCAAATTATATGAGTACCTATTTCCACTTGTGTTAATCAGGAGCTTAACTGCCTTTCATTGTATTTGCTGTGCTTAAATCCATCAACTTTGATGGATTGCTCTGATGACATCATGAATTTGGTTACTTTGCTTTGCTTTATGTGGGAAGTATTTTATTGAAGGACGTCGCTTCCTTTTTACTAAGGGGCCACAAGAGAATGCACTTTGCTCTCGTTTGCTATCAAACGATTGATGCAAACCAAATCAAAATAAGCAACATAAGAGGCTATGCACAAACATTGGAAAGTGTTGGTATTCTTTTGTCTTATTATACAGACGCAAGGTAAGAAGGAACTATCAGTAGAGATTCCATTAATGAATAACCTACAAATATAAAGTAAGGTTTTGTCTAGTCACATTACAAGAATTCGGAATAATATAAAAGAAACTCTTAAATTTGTAGGAACATGCACATTTTGTACAACAAAAAAGTCGAATTTTTTTCAGGTTTCTATCATAATACTGGGTAGAAATATGCGTTTGGAAGTAAACTTATCCTATTATGGAAAAATATTGCTAGTACCATTTCAACTGGTAAATAATGAAGCATTTCTGTCTTCAATCCTCAAAGGGGAGAAAATTTGATAGACTGTCTATGCTATAGAATCAGGTAAAATGTTTGCGCTATTGCGCTTTGGTGCGATTTTATCCGAAATCGTGAATTGTGCAACATCGACATGGGGATAAAGATGGACGAAGTTAATGAAACCTGTTGTTAAATGCATACTTGCCTTAGTACCAGAGTGTTTTCTGACATGCAAAGTAGCATAATTTCTTATATGGCTGCACGAACGGCCGGTGGAATTTGTTCTGGGAGTTTTTTTGCAAAATATTGCATACGGTTTTCGAACTTAAAGCATGCTTGTGCGCCCCGATTTTGTCACTCTGAGACGCTAAGCAATGCTTTTATGCCCTTCAATAGCCAATTCTTAATCGTGTTGCAATGTATTCTGGAAAAAGTGTAATTTACTAGCTATTGCTAATGCGCACTTTTTAGCTCCTGATTTTTACTCCCCTTCATAAAGCCGCAACTACTTATAATAATGAGTAGATTTTTGAGATCGACGTGTTAATGAAGTAGGATAGATTTCAAGGTCTTTATGGCATTCTTAAAAAACATTTGCTATATTATAACAAAGTTAACTTTACTCTAATTGTTTCCATTGTCAAACATTCTAGTTCAGATGATAATAGATTTGCTCAGTTTCCTCTGTGTACTTCTATTTAACAATTAAATAACTATTCAAATCCCTAACCACTTATAAAGACGACTACCAAAAAGCTTTGCATGAGTATAAGAGACACAGTTTTGTTTTTTCTAATGCGGAATTAAAAAGGTATTCACTGCGTTATAAATCAATGGTGGAATTAGCATTTTAAGAGTGCTGATAATTTAACATTCATTAGAATTGACTCAAAAATAAAATCAGCTTGTGTTCGAGATTGCAACCTTTCGCATTTTAGTGGCGCTTGCTTCTAATATATATTAGTGCAGTTGACGATTTTGTGCTGATCATATAATTGCTTGTTACCAATGTTAAGACAGCCACTGTCACTAAATTTTATGCTAATGTCGACATTGTTGCTTGTGACGCTGTTGACGATGTTTATGAACCTGGTCCTTTGGATGAAGTAGATGCAATCATTCACGCATTCTCTGCCAGCGCTGTTGTAGATATGTAAGCACTTATCTCCGTGTGTCTCTTCTTTTTAAAGTTAGCACCCTGGCAAGAGATTAGCCAAAATTTCGCGAGATTTCTGGTGAATTTGAGTTGGACAGATGCAGAGCGTTTGGATCACTTTCATGCCATAACTATACACGGTCTTAGCAGCTATCAATAGGCATGAAACTTATGCCATTCACACATCCTGTTTACTCAAACGGAGTATGAGAACAGAAAATTATATTAGCTTCTGAATTATACTGTAGGCAGTTTATAAAGCTTAATTTAACAATTCATTAAAGTATGCATAAGTGAAATTTGTATCCGTTTTGACGAGTTTAAACTGTCTACACAAATGCTATGAAATAATTTAGCAAAATAAAATCTGTAAAATCAGTGTTTTTTAATCCTGAAAACTTTTAATTCAAAAAGTTAAAGCTCTTTCCTTAGGTATTTATTAACGCTTGTGGTTTAAATTTTTGTAGGGGATAATAATACCTAATTTTATAGTAAGTGAGGCGTTTTTGGACTAGCAAAGTACTCAAAATTTGTACGACTGAAAGTGAGCCGCTGCGCAGATCTGGAAAAAGCAATTTTTTTTAAACAAACTGCATCTGACTAAACTTTAATAGAGGTATTTTTTGCTAGGACAAAATGTCGTAAAGAATTATCTTAAGGAAGGCTACAACCAAAACAGCTAACTCAAGATTCAAACGTGGAATGCTGGTGAGCTTCAATGTACCTCACATAGCCCTGTCCTTCCACTGTGGTCAACTGGTAGCAGATTAAATTCGCGGATCAGTTAATATTGCGTCCATGGCATGAGATTCATGCACATGGCGATAAAAGATGGCGTGAAGTGAACCACCGAGTACGCCAACTGCTCCGATAACCGCAAATCTAAATGAGCACCATTCTATGTGGAGTTCTTTTTTAGTCAAGTCTAGCAAAATTATTAATCATGGAACCACTTTACGTGCCTTCAATTGAAAATAATCTTTGGAACATTATCTCAATATTTACACTTAAATTTGGTACATATAATGCGTTTACACTTGGATGTGCGTGTACTAAACTCGTCTCAGACAAAAAGGCCTAACTGATTGTCAAGGCTCTAGGCGAATCAAAATCATGGTAGTTCCAAACGGAAGAGATTTACTTGTAACGCTCTACAAATAATATTAGACCTTCATTAAGGTTAACACCATGAGTACCTAGAGTTAAAAAAAGATGCTACCTACTAAATTAACTGCTCAAGCCTCGTACAACAAAGGTACATTACACTCATGCCTACATATTTTGTAGTTTTTTACTTAAACCTTTATGAACAGATTACTGTAAGTTTCATGAGTAGACGCGTTTTTTTGCTCTCTGCAGTTTTTCGAATAAGTGGTATAAATGAAGACCGTTGATTTTCGCTATTCAATATTTTTCAATGTAAGGGTGAAATTAAATAATCCGTGAAATTGATTTCAGAATTTCGAGTAGACATTTCATGCTATCAAATGTCTACTCCTTGATTCTTTGGATCTGCAATCCCAGTATCAGGCCTGAATTAAACTGTTCACATTTTCTAACATATTAATAAACCAAAAGGGAAAAAAGAATGCTGCTGCCTTCAATTGCTGTTTATTCAATGTACAACTCTCGTCTTTTTATTAGCGCTCTACGATTGTGGCGAAAGCTTGACGGTTACACATGAATAGGTGCCTTTTATCTGAGCTACTACTGTATTTAAGGAGTTATTGGGGCTAATTCATACAAGGTAAAACTTTATCATTAACCTACTCTGATCTACACTCCTATTTGTGTTCACAATTTAAACACACCGAACTTGTTTGCAGAAGTAATCACTTGAAGCTTATTTTGATTACATTAAAAATATATTTATATCTACTTCCAAATGCTAAAAAATTTCCGTTCCATTAAGGTCAGACAAAAAAATGACATTATTGCCTTGTTCTGATATTATGGTATTAAGAAACGACAATAATATTGCTGCTTTACCGCCCATTCTACTAATATTCCCACCTCCAAATCTTTTGTCGGACAAAGATTCAGTTATTATCAAGTGTAACTAATATTTTTTAATGCATTTCCTAGGAAATTTATTGGGTAATGGTTTTCTTGTCAATGCTTTCTATACAGTATTAGACACTTATGATTCAAGGAGCTGTGAAATGTAAAAAGTTATCCTTTTAGATTGATAGCCTCAGATGTGGTGTTATTTCTCTGGTATAATGCAATAATGAGAAATGCAGTCTGTCCAAAATATTTATTAAGAATTAGCTTTTTCCAGTTCTAAATTAATGGTGGTCTTCACTCAAATGTGAAGAGTTTGATTCAAACATTGTGAGTATTATCTCAGTTCTTTTGCCTGTTTGGATATTTCAATAAGCAAACTTTATATTAAATCAAAATGATCATAGTTAAACAATAAATGTCAACTTCTTCATGTCAGCAATCATGCATATGCAAGCTGCATTTACTCGCTCTGTGTGCTTATTCACAGAATTGTCGCATAAAAGAATCACTCCACAACGTCCTGTACATCCACAGTCAAACGATATTTCGTCGATTCCAGACATCGCAATGCTATGTAAGTTTCATTGACTTTATAACCGATTTAATTCAGATCGGCTGCCACAATGATCACTTTTGCTGGAAGGTATTTATGAGTGACCTACATTGTTATATTATCATAGCTTATCAATATACAACTCAATAAGTTTTCACTCCCACTAAATTTGTTTTGGACTTTCAAAATATTACAGTTGATCCACGGAAAGTGTCGCAGCCATTTTTCATCCAGAGCTTAAAGATGTTGCTTTTTTAGCGTTTACACGTCAACCTACAACTTTCCTTTAGCTCCTGCTGTAACATTGGCCAATTGATTGCACCTAGGAAAGCCATCAAAACAGCATTAAATGCAAGTTTGGAATTATTTGAATAACCGTTTATTATTATGAACAATAAAATAAAACCAGTGTCTAAATGCCAGTTGAGTAGTTTGTAATCCAGTAAAGTGGCCCATGTCCTTTTCTTTTGATTCCTTTGTTTATCAAGCACGGAATTTTAGAGATGACTTTTCCTATAGAGGAACAAAAAGTATCCTAAACAGCAACATTAACGGTGGTAACACTGTCGCCTGCATTCTCACTGCGCCTGATAGCAATTAAACTTCGTTATAAATCTTTTTCTTCACTTTATGCAATGTGTTTCCACGTCTCGATATAATCTATAATTCAAAATTGCAAAATGCGAGCAACCACGCTAGACAATTTTTTTAGAAGGAGCACATTTTGTATATATTTATTTGCAAGTACATAATAATGACAATTAATTGAGCATGCCTGTTTCAAAAGAAAAATATTTGAATTTGTCTCGTACTAACTTTTCGGAATTAGTGCATAGACCTATTCTTGTGAAATCTTGCGTATTTAAAACTCGTCCTATTCTACTTCATTAAATTTTACAGGCCAAAACCCCAATAATGTTTGCTTATAATTACTATTTGACACTTTACGAACATATCCAGCAATTTTCAGTCGTGAGTAATTCTGCTGCTCTTTTTAACCTACTACATTAACAGTAAAGCATTTTATAAGAACCGCGATTTCTAAGCAAAACGTATATGCACTATAATGAGCACTTATTTTAGTGGAAAAATCCTAAAAAAATGAAAGAAACATATTAAAATGAATAAAAGTTTTGCAGTGTACGAGTTTAGCGATTGGAATTCTCGAATCTAGCTCATACTCTATTGGCAAGATAGGGCTGGATTTTTGATGATATGCATTACTATTCTCCATTTGAAATGTTAATTTTTGATAATGAGTTCCTGTCTAAAGTTAAAATTAAACTTCATTACACACACGTTTTCTCCACTAAATTCACAAGTATAGCCTCATGCGTCAACGTGTATTTATGTGTATTCAAACTGGCTCACACAAAATATATGCGTGAATTTATAATTCGAGAATCCTCTCCTTCATTACTACAAACTGTAAAATTGTTATAGTATGAAGCCATTTATTTGAAGTCCACCTCAAACTATGACATTTGCCTAACGCAAGATGAAATAATGCAAACAAACTGTGTGTAAATTTTAAAATATAGCTATGGATATTAAGAACGATATAATGGGTTTCGTAAATGGCTAATTTATGAAATCTAAAATTTTAGTGAAGTGCAACATTTAGACAAATTCTGCAAAATTGCTAAAGAATACATAAATATTTTTAGGATGGTAAGAGAATGCGGACACTTAAGTGCTTTTAGGGAGTTATTTGTAAAGAGCATAAAGAGCAATATTTAATTCATTTTAGACACCTAGAAATTCAACACATATATAGTATGTGCACATAGGTAGCGAGATGAAATTTTAGTTTCCAATGCATATCACTTTTCTTGACAATGTTATAGAAATATACGATTAACCCGCAACTGCAATTACAAATTATTTTTTGAGGGAAGACCTAGATCTGTCACCAAGCTGAAGCGATGCGATTTTTATTATTGTGATTCCCCAATTATGTGTGCTGACCCTTTTAAAACAGAAATAACTGTTTTATTTTACAAGGATGTTTGGATGAAAAGTAGGGAATTAGAATGCTTTCCTCTGTGGTATGGACAGCTAAGTTTGTCAGTTTTTCGTCTGTTAAAACTATATGACAACATCAACACCTTTCCCATCATAATCACTACTCTACGTAGTTTAGCGACTTTGCATGGGATTAATCAGTGCTACTAATTTGCATAGGGACGCTTACTGCATGCCACACTCAGATGCTAAAGCATGATAATTAATTCAAATTCACCATGAAATAAAATCAAATTACTTTCTGAATTAAGGTCACATTCATTTTTTACGTAAGCCACTACTAACGAATTTGACCTGTCACGACGTAAAAGTTAGTCAACTAGGGCTGTTGGAATGACTGAAAGCTATCCACCAAAATGCACAGATTACAAAAATAGAATTATTATAAGAAGTTCTTGATTGACGGGTTTGTACGAAATGTCAGGATGTTTTAGGGTGTGTATGTTTTTAGAAAGTCTCAGGTTCAAATTTTTTTGTTTTAACGTAACTCATCTTATTCATCGCAATCGGTAGAGAAAATTATTAATTAATGCTTTAAATACTACAGCTAGCCATTTTTAAACTGGCTTCATCTTTTAACTGCCAATTGCGGCAAGGACTATAAAATGTTTCATTCACTTTTATTTTTGGTTTTTATAATAATAATAGTGACAATCTAATGGCGATCTATTCTTGACTTAGTAGATCAAATAGAATATTTTACTGGTTTACATCCGAATCAATGTCGACGTCTGCAATCGTGTAATCGGAGGTCGCTCTCAAATTGCCCATGCTGACTATAGAATGCTTGCAGGCAGTCCTAGAATGCATTATTATTGTCTGTATAGTGACTTTATAAGTCGTAAACTAGGATTCAACGCTGTTTCTCCCACTTGTTTACAGGCCAGTTCTATTTCTATTCTAAAAGTAAGGCCAAAATTCCTTTCCACGGCACGGTAAGATTACCACCAAGCGCATACCCGTCAACAGTCTGCAATTTTTATTTTTTTCCATAAAATATGTAGACATTACGCCTGTTCACTTTAACACTAAATTGGAACAGGTGTAATTTCCATATATTTACACTTTTTGTAAATTCTTTGAACAGATCCGCTTTTAAAATCCCTCCAATTCATTCACTATTTCGATTAATATTCATCACTGTACTTTCATGTAGTCAGAACCTGAAATACAAGCACTAAATCAGGTTCGCTGAAAATTTATAATATTTCACCATTATTCTGGTTTAGATGAAGCGAATATAATGCATTCTATCGTAGTTCTTTTCTTTAATCATCGTCAAAAATGCTGATATAGGATGTGAAAAAATTACCCTGTCTTTAATTCAGCGCTCAAATTTACTATATTCGACTGGTTAACTAAGACTAAATAAAAATAATCAATGTTTGTTATGATAGTTCTTAACTTTCACCCAAGTAGCTTTATATTTTCTAGGTATTAACAACGTCTCTGACATTACCGCAATCAGACATTTAGCAATTTAAAGAAATTCGTTTTCTAATTTTATGGCAGTATTTTTATAGTGTAAAACAATGTGTACTAATAAAATTGGTATTTTTGGAACTATTACACATTTTCTGCTGTTTCGTTAAGACTTATATCCCCAAATTTGCCTTTTCTTATAGTGCTTATCTTTGCAAAATTTTAAAGGTACAGTTTGTGATCCATTGTATGGTTCACTCTGTTTTGGGCCAGCATTATCGCTTAGAAATGACATCGAAAGAAACTAAAGGAAATGCTTTAATATTTGTCAAAATTTACTAATACTTTTTCGTTTGTGTAGTCAAAAGGTCCAAGTGCATGGATTTCACCCAAGTTTGAGGCTCCAAAAGTGTACACACATATGAATTCAATGACTGAAGATGCAGCTTATACAACGACACAAACAGACGGTGCTCCCGAAATGCACATGTCGCATTCCAAATATTTGTAGACAGTTAAACAGCAAGCCATCATCACATGCACAAATACCTCACAAGTAGTAAAGCTGTTTTTAATTGCTGTTTACCCTCAATAGTGAATGACCCTTCTATTCATGATCTGAAGGGGAGCGGGTAATCCCCTTTTATTACGTATCGAAATTGCAATCTAATGCTTACTAATCCTTGTATTAGGAAAGAAGGCTTTTTACTAGCTAAGATTCTCATCTATCATGCGTATGAATGTAATGAGTCTGTTAAATACCACACAGATTGGAAATAAAGTGAATTAACTTGGGAGTTGCTTCAAATATTTAAATTGCTTCACAATTATAGCTAACGAATTCTTTATTCTAAAGCGATTTGTAGAGCTAATTTTTAGAGTTTTAAATTAAGAAGTATGCCTCTATTTTCCTTCACAAGAGCCGTTCCATGATGTTTGAGAAGAGGGTAGAACACGCCCTTTGCTTCTACTGGGAGGGGATAGGAACCAAATTTTTTTGGCGTGCTGGCGTATTAGCCAATACGTAATAAATTAAAGTGTAATATTTGACATCATAAAAAGTGCTTCCTGGTCTAAATTCTGTATCCGTGTTTCTGTGGAATTAAAGCAAATATATCTAAATATTAATTGCAATTTTCTTCACACGTCAGATTATGCATTATGTGCTGCTGTTTAAGTTACTCTTGTCTGCTCTGCTTGATTCTCTGCAAAAAATTGCCCTGGCAAGATCAAGATCAACCTACTTTTACCGATTACCTCACAGTCAAATTACAAGTGGCTATTTCCAGCCATAGAAGCGGGATTTGAATGTGCATTAAATTCAGAAGTGTTTTGGACGGGATCAGCTGGGTAATAATAATTTTGGCTAGAGGCTACTTACACTCCTCGACATTCATTGTGAATATACTCTGGCCGAATAAACTACTAACTATTCGTAGAAAATAAATGGATTCAGACTCTCAACAGAGTCATTTTATATTCTCATATATTTCAACCTATTCAACTGGACATCTTGTGATTGGAAAATATCTGTTCATGAACTATATTACAGAACTACCTTTTATTGGACTGACTCAATTCGAAAACCAGCATATTTGAAGCTAACCAACACTATCTGTCCCAACAACAAAACTCTTAACACTGCATTGCTCTAACCGTACAGCTCTTTCTTCCTTATGTTCCCATTTTCGGTCCATGCAGTATTTGAAAATTCCTTTTATTTATATCATACCGCTGTCATAATATGGTAACATTTATTCCTTTCCTTGCCAAATAATTGAAAATTGATGTAGAAGAAATCTGAGAAAACTCCGTTTGCATTTGTTGGAAATTATGGGGGGTTGCCTCTGTGTAGTCAATGAAATTTTAAAAGACTGCATTTTTACATGAGTCTGGCTTGTAGTAACAGTAAATATTAGTAAGTAGATGGAACAAGGTGATCAGTTCCATGTTTACAACAGTTATTTTTATTCATGTTGTCCTTGGTTAGTAAGATGATTCAGAGCTTATATTTCCAGCTACAACGGCTTCTTTAGTGGTCAGTCAAACGACTAAAGTATAGTTGCGTTATAAAGGAAAAGGAGGGCTAAATTTGCGCTACCAACCTGATAATTTAACAGCAATTTTGCGCTTAATTTTAGTCAAAACGAAGGATTAGATCAAGACCTAGCAGGCTGTTGTGCCTTTTAGTGGGCTTGTTGTAGTGCAACCCGGGCAGCTATTATACTTTGTGCTTTCAATGACAAATACTTGCGATGCATCTTATGAAAAAGTGGAGCTCAAAATAAGATTGCTATTTCCATAAATCTTGAGCCCAGCTTTCCTCTAGGTCTAACTTTTGCAGAACAGAGCGGTCAGGTGTGACACATGAGTATGTTGATACAGGTAACAGCATTACCATCTAATGAAATTTGAGCCTAGCAGCATTGTTAGACAGCTTTTTTGGAATACACTTGAAGTTCTGTTCATTGCAAAGTGGATAAGTATCCATGCACTACTGACAGCACTAGTTCCAAGCACCGTTTCACTCTGTGAAGTAGTTAACAATGAAACAAAGTGCAAAAGGACAAACAGTGGCATCCGCCTTGTAATTCATGGCTCAATTAATTAGTGGACTTTGTTAATGCTATCAGGCAGATTAGAACACATGGCTTTCCACAGCATTCCGACTAGCAGGTATTTAGCATACTGTAGAAGATGATGACCAGGAAAATCACCTTTATTCAATGAAATTATGGAAAAAATTGATTACATGAAATTGAGAACAATATTTGTGATGATGGTTGCTAATGCCGTCAGTTTTAATGAGAACGTAGACGAAAGCATCATCGCCTTTGAAGCCGTCGCTTTGTCTAGCTTGGAATTCGACCCTCCTGGAGAAGCAGAATTCGGTGTTTTGCTAGCTTTATCTTGTTGATCCTGACCTCCTGCCTCATTTTCCTTGGTTGAGGTGGCAGATATACAAACTACGAAACTAACCAGCAAAAAGGCGTACAGCAGCTGCATTTCTACTCCAAATTACTTAAACCTTACAACTAGGTGTAAATTTATACATTGCTAGGCAGGGTGCTGATAGGTTGTCAAGGCGTCTCTCAACGTTGATTCGACACCTTCGATTAAGTGCTTAATTAATGCCATTGTGGGCAGGATGGTTCCCATTAAAAAGTAGAAGACAACACAGAAAGGGGCCCACCTTTCTTAAGAGTTACAATGTAGGGCACAAAATCAACATTGTCAAGTTCAAATGCGACAAGATTTTTCAAGGTTTTAGAACGGTATGGGAATCCAGAGATATTGAATGGCTTTAAAAAGGTCTCAATTATAAGAGCAAATCTGTCTATTTATCGACTGGTATCACGAGTCTTTGATATAACTTTAACAGAATTATGCTTGAGAATGGCCGAAAATACCAAAAAGGATCAAGCAGACCACCAAATTGTTAGAATTTGACTTTGAAATGACCAGATAGGGGGCGGACGATTTCTTATAGAAATCCTAATTAAATTTTCCATGATTGGTGAAGAGAATAAAAGAATATTTCTAGCTACAATTGAGTCGACAGCATTGGAGACACGCAAAACTCATGAAATTCGAAAATTATTTGGTTAAGAAATGTTATTTCCATCGATTAAGACCAACACTAAAATGTGCTTTGTTCGCAGTTGTCTGCCTCCGACACTTTCACTAATCGCTTTATTTAGACAAGATCAACAGCATTTATTCGAATGCATCAAAGTGAGGCATATGTTTTACGCAATCCACAACTAAGACAATTGTGTTGTGCATTTGTGAAAGCCGGTTAATCACAGCAATCCTGATGACTAAAAGTGAAAGTGACCGACAGAATGCACATTTACCACGAACAAATTATTCACGATAAGCATTACCGTTCGGTGGCTATCCTGTCTGATCAGAAGTTCCACTTAATTATTTTGCCTACTTAAATGTACCTTTTGCATGCTGTGGTTTGCGCAGGAAGATTTGCCCTCAGTGAGCAAATCATCATAATCTTGGGTTAAAAACGTAAA